CAAGTAGGTTTCCATAGCTGAGCAGGGATTTGAACCCTGGCCTCTAGAGTCATAGTCCAGTGCTTAGACCACTATGCCACACTGGCTTCAGCAATGTCTCAGAAGTGCCATCTATTTCTAACCAAATGCACATGTATTTTTAGTGCTCCCTCTTTGGATGAATGTATAACAAACAGAACCTGTTGTTCTGATAAAAGACTACAAGATAGAACCTAAGGGACACTTAGAGGAGGGGTGCACAACATTTCAGCCTTTAAATTACATTGGATGCTGATTGGGGACCTACATGCACTCCTAGTAGCAACAGGAAAACAGTGATCTTGGAAGCAAGAACATTGAGGATGGGAAATGATTTCACCTCTCCCATCTCCCAGTGATTTTGAAAGTCAGGGAACTGCTCTCCTATGGACCAGCTAGGCTGCAGGGGAAAATGATTAGGATCCTGCTGGCTTTGGAGGCTATGCACCCCTCCTCCTGTCAACAGCCACAAGCCATTTATTTAACAGTAATGGTTGTCTGGCTAATGAAAAGAAGGGTGAGGAAAATCTGTATAGTTCCATTCACTGAATTTAACTTGCTAGATGCATGATGGTATATTTGCATTTGACTTGCTAGATGCATGATGGCATGTTGTGTGTAGAATGGTCTGTTAGCTGTTTACATACACTCTTGATCTTACACCAGTACTTAAAGGATCCAAATGGAGAAAGCAGTTTTCCAAAAGAGACTATTTTAAATTGTTCTCCTTGGCAGCTCTCCCCATACAAGCAAGCTGCTTGTGTGGAATTGCTTGCCATACAGACCAGGAAATTTTCAGTGGCTTTCAGACAGTGGCTGTTTTGTGCAGGTCAGGCCTTTAAGGCATACATAGAGGTCTGCAGTACTCAGGTACTTGTATAAACTACTGTTGACAACTAAATATTTATAGTCACCTTTGAAAACTGAACATTTGAATAACATTACAGATTTCTGTATCTAGGTTTACTTTTCCCATTTATTATTTAATTAATTAAATGGCAGCTAAAGAGAGGCATTTCACTGGGTGGACATCTAGCTAGCACGTGTTGGGCTGAGCAGTTGAAATAGTAACCAGTTGGACCTATAACTCATCTGTGATTTTCTTCATGTGGTTAAAACATGTCAGTACCAATGAGAATGGTCTTTCTGTGTCATTTGTTTGTGCAGGATATTTTTTTTCTGCCAGTTATTTTAAATGTACATGCATGAAATGTATTGTTCTGAAAATTACAGAGAAATAATTGGATACATCAGGAAACAGTGATAACTTAAGTGTGTTGTATGTGTCCATGCCCATATGTGTAGACACATACTTTTTCCAGTTTGCTCACATTGTTCTAAAATCACTGATGTTGAGCATTCTTTCTTAGAATTAGGTTCCACTGAAATTACTTTCGTCTTTTCTACTTGGATGATAGCATGTAAATGTTAACAAATAATAGGTGCAATTTATGGAATCATTAACTATGGGACTTTACAGACTATCAGAAATAATGCAGCTTGAGTCCACTTTAACTGCTCTGGCTCAATACTAGGGAATAATGGGAATTTTGTTTTTTTTCTGAGACATTTAGCCTTCTCTGTCAGAGAGTTCTGGTACCACAATAAACTACAGTTCTCATGATTCCCTAGCACTGATTCAGGGCAGTTAAAGTGGACTCAAGCTGCATTATTTCTGGCAATCTGTAAAGGCCATTTGTGTTAAAACCATATATTTTTAATTGGAGGTATTCTGGTAAATAAAAGACTAAGGGCCTCTACAGATGATGCTTTGCACCATCTTGGAGGTGGGGAAGGGGAGGGACAGCCATACGCCTGGTGCCCCCCCCTTCCCAAGGATGTCACCATGGCATGTGCCACCACGCATGGTGCGCGCCATCAAGACATCCTCCCAGCGCAGTGTTTTTCCATATTGCATTGGAAGCGGCACAAAAGAGCTGCACAGCAGCTCTTTGGGCACCCTATTTGTTGGCTCTGGAAGGAGTGGCATTTTAGCGCTCTTTTCAGGGCCGACAAAAGGGTGGATTGGGGCCACGGCTTGGGGCAGCCTTGGCCCCAATCCTCCGCTTTCCAGGGTGGCCCATGGCCACCCATCTGCATCCCCCTAAGTCAAAGGGTTTTCAGTTCCGATCACACAATTCTTATCATCTTTGAGATTTTTTCCCCCAGAAAATGTGTTCAATATGATTTTTCAACCAATGACTTTTTAAGTCAGCATCCTTTTGCATTTAGACGATGTGTGTGTGTGTGAGAGAGAGAGAGGGATTTCCATAAATTATCACTGAGATAAAAGCATCTTAATCAGTCAATGGCTTCATTTTATTTTTGATATTCTTCTAGAATCTTATCAATTAGGATTTAAGTAACGAAATTAGAGCATGCTGAGAGGCTACTGCATTTCTGTTAAATGCAAATGCAATTGACTAGTCTTGAGCAATGACACTTTGATTTTGAAACTGGTATTAATTTCTGCTTGTGTAGAAAAGGATGCACCTGCACCTGAGAAATCACTTTTGGGGCCCTCACATAAAGAGCGGATATCATTTCGAGATCATCCAGTTCATTTCAGCGGTGGATGGGGAAGTGGCAAAAAGAAAGGAAAACCTTTGAAACAGTAGTTGGACCTTCAGCACTTAAAAAAATATGGAGAGCTGTTTCTTTTCAGGAAGCCATTGAGTTGTCCTCATTTTTTGATACCACAAATGCAAAGTTCCTAAGCACTGTATATGATGTATTTTACTCTGCCTATTTATTTCTACCTTTTCATTTCTTGGCAAAGAAGTTTTATAAATGTCAGAGTAATAACATTATTTGTACCTGTAATTTATTTGTGCAATATAGTTTAAGATTCAAAAGTATGTCTGAGATTATTAAAGATAGCCTAACCAAAAGAACAAATCTGGATGTGTATACACAATAATGGTTTATGATTTCATACTGGTCTGTAATTGAGATGGCCTAATCTATAGCTGAATTTAAGATACTTTCACTAAACTCACTTACTGTTCAATCTAAATCTCGATCACAGGGGGAGGGGGGAATCAAAATTGAATTGTCCTTGATATCTTGGTTAGCATAGAATGGAATGTGTATCTATTAAATGTAAAATGTGGAATGTTCATCTTTCTCCAAACATATTGATGATGTAAATAGGTTTTGTGTAAAAATGCTTCATATTCTACTGAATGGGCCTCAATGAGTGCACATTCATAGCACAACAAATCCCATAAGATGATATTAAGATGTTTCATAGTGCTAAATTATGTTTATCATTCTGTAGTACTCTGACAGTTTCCTTACAGTCTGCTCCCCTCTTTTCCAGAATTAAAAGATGAATGTGAAAACACTGTGGAGTAATTTTGTTCTCACCTGTTGTATCTCTGTTTCAGTAAGAACCTACTATTTGCAGCCTCATGTTAGGTTTACCACTTCTGTGCCACTGGCATTAATGGTTATTTGCATTACATCAGTGCACACATGCCACCATCCCTGAAGTATTGTTTTGTTAAGCTTAGAACAAATTGTTGATGGGATCTAGGGAAACAGTTACCGGTATTTGGTTTTAAATAATAAACCACTGAAATCTCAACCTACAGTTGAACTTGAGATGCAAAAGCTAAGAGAACCCCCAAATGTTGGTAAATAAAATTTATATCTTATATGTTGTGGTTGTGCTTGGAGCATGTTATACATTTCCTAACAGAGTAAAGTACCCATCATGTTGTCTACATTCATTAATGTCATCATATTAATATGGATTGAAAATGTTTTCTTTTTTGTGAGAACTATAGAGAAAGCCATAGCAGTACAGATACTGACAACACACATGAAGTTTTTATAACTGAATTTGTGGTGTATAGAAAACTGCACAATTGCCCTGTCTTCTAATCACCATACATAGAGACGTAGGTGTTGTATTGCAATTTGCATTTTAATGTCTCATGACATGATTTATTTTCAAAAAATGAAAATGCAGCTAAACAGATGGTCTCAGCTTTGGCATTTATCTGTACAATCTTTACATTTAAGAAGATGAACATCAATATATTTTTCATGTTCCTCTAGAGACAATTTTAGTTGATAATCATTCTTGGAAAAGTTCTGGGTTGATAGTCAAGTACTCCTGTTTTGATAAGTTTCAGAACTAGACTGTCTAGGATGCATTCTGATATATGAACTATATATCTGGTAAATGAACACCAGTTCTACTCCAAGAAGTGTCCAACTTCCAATGTAAATAGTATAGGCTAAGTATCCCTTATCTGATGTGCTTGGGGCTGGAATTTTTCCTACTTTGGAATACCTGTATTTGCACATAATGAGGCTGGATAGAAATCAGTGAAATGTTGAGAATACAAGCATAGCAATTGGCACGAATCCATATTTCCTGCCATTTCACAGATCCTCTTGTCTCTCTCCAGCCCTGCAAATACAGTATTTGGAACATTTTGGAATTCCAGATAAGGGATGCTTAACCTATAGTTACTGTCCAAAGATAAAGCCATGTTAGAGAGATCTTGTAGCACCTTTGAGACTAACTGAAAGAAAGAAATTGGCAGCATGAGCTTTCATAGACTTCAGTCTACTTCCTCAGATGCATTTGGTGGAGTGGAGGCCAGGCACAAACATATATATGTGAGGGTGCCAATTTGAATTACAAATTCTTTGTGTATGGAAATGAAGTGGCAAGTCCAGGTTGTTAAGTAACTACAATGTAGTTACCGTGTTAGACTTTGTTTAAATTTCCACCTGCCACTAATCTTGCTGGATGACTTTGAACTATCTAGTCTAATCTATTTTACAGGCTTCATGTGAGGATAAGAGAAAGAACTGCCTTTGCTGCCTTGAACTCATTGGATTAAAAAATGATAGGCTTCTATAATCAGCATAAATGAGCATGAAGGGATAATAGAAATGATGGGTGCATGAATGAGAGAATGGCTATCAACTCCATGTGTTAAATTTAGGCTAGAAGCTTAGCCATATTTATTTTAAAACTGGGTTCTACGTATCTATGCCTGGAGTATTACTTGAAAGTAAAGGTATTTGTTAACAATGGAAGTTGACTTTGAATGTTAAGTGTGTCTGAATATCTGATTAGTTATGGAGTGCCTGTGTATCATATGTATAGAACAACATTGATCTCCAGAGTTAACTGAGTGCAGTCCAAACCGGATATTTAATAAAAATTGTAAAGGGGGTGAGGAGTCAGGAATCACAGTTTCAGTAACTTCTGCTTCCATTTGTCAATTTCCCTTTCCTTGTCAATGTCTACAGTAGGATTGTATGTTAAGGACCATGATTAAGAATTCAAGAATTTCAGCCTCTGTTTAAGTTTCTAGCCTTCATAAGCAAAATCTTTAATGCATGTAGAAACTGTATATTACAGAAACGAGAACCAAGCTGAAAGTAGGTTTGCTCATGAGAGTGGAGAAATAGTTGCTACCCATTTCCCCCCACTTTCACTAGTCCTTGTCTCCAAAAGGAAATAATTCCATGTTTAATAGCTTGTAGCTGAAAATTATAAGCATGTTATAAAAAGTAAATAAATCCTAATAAACTAATGGTGGTGTCCTATTAGGAAGGACTTTGTAGAATTTACCTAAATAAACAAGTGAATCATGCTGTGTCACTTCCAGAATTTTTAAATATGCAGGAATGAAGAAGAAGATGCTATGGCTCCTATCCTTGATATATGTATTCAGGAAAATAAGTTGTCATCCATTTATCCTATTGCGTAATGATTTTGCTATTGGTAAATGAGATGACCCATCAACAGTCTTGATTTTAAACATTTATTTACGTATTTGGTCCTTAAGCAGTTAGGCTGGTCACAGAACACCATTTAATTATCATTTAAATTAGGGAGTCAAGAAATAAGGTTCCAAAACTGTTACTCTCATGCAATCTCCCAAACAAGTTGACTCTGATGTATGCCAGTGGTTTGCTCTAATGATGAAGAAGCAGGTCCTGAAAATCGCAGCATAGGTAAGACGACATTGACTTCAGCAGCTTATATGTAAAACACAAAAATCCACCATCCCTTTAATGTCCATAGAACACAGAAGGCTCTTCTCACCCTTGACCATTGAATTGACACCATGCTTGCAACATTAAATTTAGTACATCAGCTCACTGTTGGTACTGTATGGTAGAAGGCACTACAATCCCCTAAGTAGCCTAATAATAAAGAAAGTACAGTGCTGGAAGCCTCCAGCCAGCAAGAACCTCTCCCATTTCTCTCCAGGCCCTGAAATCAGTGGGAGGTCATAGGTTGAGATGACCATTTGCTTGCAGATCTCTTAGTGAATCCAGTCTTCCATTTTTTGGGGTGTTATGGTTGGATGATACTTTGAGTCCCAGTTTCTGGGTGGCTTCAGCATGTGCTTTCATACATTTTTTAGAAAATAACTTTCCAAGTTGGTCAGTTTTAATGGTATTGTCATTTGCATGTCATTCTTCTCCCAGAAAGAAATTGGATGTGAACAGTGAAATCCCAATCTCAGCCTTTCCCCTTTTCACACTACACCATTATAGCGCTATGATTCCACTTTAACTGCCATGGCTGCATCTTATGGGATCCAGAGATTTTCAAATTAGGGAGGAGCATTTGGAATTCTCTGCCAGGACACTCCAGTATCTCCTGAAATTACAAACCCCAGGATTCCTTTGGGATGGACTCCTGGCAGTTAAAGTGTAATAATAGCACTATAATTATGTAGTGTAAATGGGCCCACAATGTCAAAGGCTTTAAGCAGGTTGCACCAAGGATGCCAACCCAGGCTTCTTCTCTGTTAAATATCTTAAATGTATAAGCAACCTGTTCCAATAGATCTATACTAGGTAGAACTATGAGCTTTGTAAGGCCATATCTAGAGATCAACACGCTGAGTCTCAAGATCTCTCTGATTAATACTGAAGATCCTTTTTTAATCCATGAGAACCAATACTCCCCTTGGGTATGAGGAGAAGTTGAGATTTATAGATGTGTGTTAGCAGGCTGTTGGTGTCCAAAAGCTACTACTGCGGTGGAGACTGACAAGAGAAAAGATGGCCCTTCAATCATGGCCAGTTGGATTGAAAAGCTGCCTTACCCAGTAATACCATTTTAGCTCAGGGTTGTGTACACTGTCTGGCAGTGGTCCCCCTGCTTTTCAGACTGGCAAAGCCAGGGAGCAAATCTAGATCCATGGTGCATGCAGAGTAAACTAAGCTAGCTATTCGTAAAAGCTATTCATAAAAGGTAAAGGTATTCTCCCATTGACAAGGTTGTTAAGTTGTGTCCCGCTGTAGGGAGCGGTGCTCATCTCAGTTACTAAGCCCAAGAGCCAGCGTTGTCAAAGACTACTCTGTGATCATAGGGCCAGCAGGATTGCACAGAACACTGCTTACCTTCCCACTGAAGTGGT